TCATCATCTATCATTTATCATGTGATTGAGGTTAAACGATCTTCATTTTCACCCTTCTAAAATATTAATCATACGAATATGTTTCATATCAAGAAAGATCTTGTTTGAGTTTTTGTGCTGATTTGTGACTTTAGTTAACTTTGTTGGGAAATTTGGGTGCATTTGAACCTGAAACTGCTAGGAGTTGGAGCCTTTGGAAATTACTCATCTGTTTTGTGGAAATAAGGGCATGATCAACCATAGATGTTGTAAGAGGTAACAACATATTTGACACACAAACCGTAGAAGTAGTAATATGTTTCCTTTGATCTCTAGATACCAAAAATTTGGCAAATAATTTCCACATATATGCCAGAAGTGTGGATGAGAAGAGTTAGCAAAAAATTTTCTTGAAGGGGTCCATACGACTAGTCTAGTTTAATATTCCAACTTAGGGAGGTTTCATATTTGAATTCTGAAATTGATGAACGATATTATTTGGAAGAAGACGGTGCGTCCCAAAATTAATGCAACTATTATTTCCCTGGAAGAATCACATCCTTGAAACTGAAGTTACAGGTTTGAAACAAGGGCCAATGCACCGGACATTGTCACATGTAAAAGATTGCAAGATTGCATTCCCCCAACGCCCTTTTGACTTTGTTTTATATATTCATCTTGGATTGAGGTTTTTTCAAACCCCTAGCCTTGACTTGCTTTGGATCCAATGAATTCCTTCTACAAAATTGTGTTCAATGTTTTCCCTTGCATACCAAATCCCTACCTAAGAGCTTTACTACTAGGCATAAATATACTGATAGCCTACTTTTTACTTCCAATTGGGATAACATTCAAAGAAAATCCATTTCATGAAACATTTGTTAGGATAGACTACAACAAATGATCAGACAGCTAACAGAAGATGAAAAAGAAAAACAACAAAGCAAACACAAGGAACTTTAGCAGCTAAGGAACACTAAAACCTTGGCTCCTTCTTGTATAGCCCATCTAAGTTCATTCGAAGTAGGTCTCCATGACATCCGGGTACATCCCTGCCTCTGAGTTCCTATACTCCACCGGTTGGTGTTGATGATGTTCAACTGAAGTTGGGGATGATGATGTAGCCATTCTTGCAGTTAATGTCATGCCAATCTTGAACTTGTTTTCCATCCTCCTTATGTTCTCAGGATGACTATCCAAACTCAAGAAATCATTCGGATTTGCAGCATTATCTGAATTTTGATTCGGATGCTTCCCTTCAAGGATGAGAGGATGGTGATTCTGGTCTGCTTTGCTTCCTAAGCCCTCAGGGTTGAACAAGAGCTTGGCATCTTCAGTTCGTCCAGTTAGAGCATGGATGAAAGACAACCCATTAGGCCATTTAATGTCATTTTCATGTTCTCCTGCTCCCATCATTTCTTCCATCCGGGTTTCAGATGAATGAGGAAGGAGAAACGTATGAGTCTCATCTTTGGCTGGTGGAAACCCAAGTCTGGCTGGGTTCTGGAAATTAGGTGAAGGGAGCATTGATGTCACTGGTGGCAACGGCCTCGGACCCCAATTGAAGAGGGGAGGTGCAGGCCGGGTTGGAATGGGAGTTAACTGTGAAGGCATAGAGGATGAAGTGCTAGTATTCCTATTTGACGAAAACAGCTGGGAGAGATAGAAACCAGATTGGTACCCAAGAGTTTCAAATGTTTGCCTCATTCTAAGCACAAAATGCAGGTCTTCAGTTATCTAACAACACAACCAACATCTGAATAAGATAAAAATCTTCACAGACCACAGAGTTCGATATCAAAAAATTGGATGAACAACAAATTAGAATGAAAAAACAGAACATTAGACTTACAATTTTACAGGAACCCAATTGCAGAAGGCCATGGCCAGCTTGAATCACAGCAATGGTCTAGCCAATAGAAATAGAGAATTAAAATCACCAAAGTCTCAAGTGCTAGAAAAAAAGCTGAAAAGACAAAACTGAAGTGGACCAAAAACAGCTAAAATGAAACTGTTTCTGGGGCTGACCTGAATGCCTGACGCAAATTGATCAGTCCATTCTGGAGGAATCTGCAATTTAATGACATTCAAAAGGGAAGGTTACCTTCAATCGTAAACATATATCATCTAACTCCAACAACAAAGCAGGATGAAAACCACATACAGCATCAAAAGAACTCTGCCAGTAATTGGAGACATTAGGTTCACATTCTGTTGGTTCTTTGAATACCCATTTATGGCACTTATCTGATGCAACCTTTCCCATTAACCTGCGTCAGAGAAAATGAAGTCATCCCCACCAAGAAAGCAAATAGAAACAAAGGAAAAGATTTTTCATTTCATTTTTTTTCCCCATGGTTTTCCTTCAAGATTTCATTGTGAACGCCGAGAAAATTGAAACCAAAATAATTGCACCTACCCAGTACCCACCCTTCTCCATAATTATATAACTGAATGGACATTTTGCTGAACGCTTTCCTGATTGGATCTTCCCCATCAATCTCTTCCAAACAGTCTGCAACTCTCCCTCGGCAGAACCCATCTTCCCACATCAACATCCTTCACATGAAATTTTGCACAGAATCAAATAAATTTCACTTCAAATTCACTAAGTAGTAATTAAAACTCCTGCAAGTAACAAATTAACAAATAGCCATATCAGATAATGAACTGTTCCTTACTCAAAAGTCAAAACCCATCTCTCTGTTTTTCTATTCCCCCGCTTCTACAATAAAACCAGTAATGTACTAATGCTTGTTTGGTTGCTGAGAAAATGCGAGGAAGGTCAAAAAACAAAAAAAAAAAAAAAAAAAAAAAACTCTTACAAGTTTCACCCAACATATTCTAAGTTTCAATTTGAATAATTTTCTCAGCAACGAAGGCATAGCATGTTTTTATTTTCCTTTTATTTTCATGCATCCAGCTCATAATTGTGCTAGTTTGCAGACACCAGAAGGTGGAAAACACTGCATTAGTTTATTATTTGCATACGGTCGCAGAAGGGTGCTTGAGAAAGCAAACATGTCTTGTAAACTCTTTTCTTGTCTGCCAAGGTAGAACTAGGTTCATCGTGAAAAAAGTGCCTTTCTTTTCCATCTTTGAGGTTGGGGACAAGAATTTAGGAGTTGTCAAATGAATGGGGTTTGAGTTTGGGCCAAGGTGTTCTGCCTCTTTTTTGACTTTATTAATATGTGCTAAAGAAACATCGCCAACTTCACTTGTATTATATGTTCTGCATTGCAATGTTGTTTTATATTCTAAACATGCAGATTTTGAAAAGGCACGAGATCATTATGTCAAAGAATAGTCAATGTTGAGCAAAGACTTGTAATGAAAACAGAGGTGGGGTGGTTGGCCTTGACGGAAACTTCCTGGTTGAAAATGGTTTCATGAAATGAGAATGATACATTTTCAAGCGCTGCTTTTTAGATGTTGAAATTTCAAGATTCCCCTTAAATTGTGCATGATATATGGAGCATCATGTCAAGGAGTTGTTAGGACAACCTAATTTAGGTCATGTTTCATTTTCACAAAGATTGAGATTTAACTTTTTGACTATGAGAATAACAAACTAATACTAGTTTATTAAGGCTTCAAATTTCTTTGGTCACAAATATGGTAATATCTAGAGATACATAAATACAATCATATATATGTGAACGTAGGAGGGATTCACTGCCAACTAAATTTTATATTACAATTATATAAAATTGGTTAAATTCTTAATTTACTGCCAACTAATATAAACTCTTGATTTGGTTTTGAACTAAAAAAATCTTTGATTTGGTCCATATTGTTTACCAATTTGACTTTAAGTTGGTTCTTCCATACAAAAGCAAATGACGTATTTTATTATTAATGTGACATGTGACAGTTAAGTAATAGTTTTTTACCTTTAAATAATTAATGCATCAGTTATTTTTAACAAAAGGACCAATTTAGTGCCAAATTGATAAGCAGTAGGACCAAATTAAGGGTCTATATAATAGTTGAGGGACCAAATCTAAGATTTTTTTAGTTGAACAACCAAATGGAGCGTCCATCCAATAGTTGAGGGGCCAAATTAGGGGTTTAACTTATAAAATTTTAATTATTTATTTTTTACTTTTAATAATTGAAATTTATTTACATTTATTAAAGATAATTATTTTTTTCACTTTAAAAATCCTAACAAATCTCAACCATTAAAAGTGGAGAAATAAATTATTAAAATTTTTATAAGTGTAATATGTAAAAC